ACTGCCCGCATAACGTAATTAACATCAAAATAAATTCACAAGAGCAAGTATATTGTTTGCACGTTTATTTACATTAAAGGCAAAATAACTGAGTAAGAGCACACGTATAGATCTGGAATTTCTTTAAGTCTGTCTAAATATCATTTAGTAATTGCAATGTCTTCTGGTCCATATCCTTTCCTTAGGAAGGTGTGCTAGACACTGATTAATGTAACAAAAATACTATACATATTTACATATTTTGCTACTGTATTGTGGAGCGACACTTTCATAAACCTTTCTATACTCTTCTGATTATATAATGGTAAATATTACAATATCATAACACAACAACAGTGATTAGCAGTAATGATAAGCCTAATACTCACAATAAAAATAATAAGGTCATATAGATCATAACACAGTCTCAGAGGTAAGAAGTGGAGTATCCTTCAGCTGAAATGTTTGTCTTTTCATCCTGAAATGCGAGGCAAATGTTGGATCACAATAATTAGGAACCACAGTTTCCACAAATCCCTTCATTTGATTAGGATGTTCTCTTTTATTCTGGAAAGCAAGGGCAGTGACTGTAACATCGAGCATATTTTGCAGTATTAAACACGTATTTATACTGATTTCATCAGGCTCCGAGAACTCTTCAAAAAGAACACAAATAATGGCCTTCTCATATAATAAATTAATTAAATACAAATAAATACAATTAATTAAAAATACAAAATCAAACTAAAGTAAATAAATAAATTGAAGTTATGCAGGCACACATTTAACAATAATTCTCAAAAATAACATTAATACTAAATTAAATCAAAACTCCATAAACATGGAGTTAATCCTGAGGTGCCTTTTGTCCAGACACTCGCAAAGAAAAACGTCCATATCTTCCTTGAATTGGAAACGAAACATGAAAGGCTCTTTGGCCAGTTGTTGGTCATCATTGATTTCCGCCTGATTAAATCCCAAATCATGAATATGTAACCTAACAAAGTGATACAATCCAATTGCAAAATAATTATGTGCTCAAGTGCCTTCGTCACAATGCCCACTTGCAAAGTACTCAGAGCCCTTTTGTATAAGCGTTAATCCAAAAACAATCGATTAAATACACAAAGGCAATTTTTTACAGTTTTCTCTTCTTCCGCCGTGACGATTCCGTTGAAAATTACAGTATAATTAAAAAAAATGCTGTACATTTCAACATTTAGTAGACCTTAAAAAATAACTTCTAATTTAAGTGAACTTAAAACAATCTTCACATAAACCCATTATAATAAATGTCATATTTATTTAATAGGAAATAGACAGAAATATAATAAAGTTATCAAACACTAAATTCTAAATTAAATAGGAATCCTTAAATCTACAAAAGTAATTGATTTCCTCTTTTTTTTCTTTTGTTCTTGATTAAAAGACTTCACAGCAGCTGGGTTATTAGGTTATTTTGGAAATTAGAGCTTTGTCTTTTTATCCATGTCCATGCTATCATTTTTATGATGTAAAAAAGGACAGAATTTTCGGGTTCCCGCATTATTCGAGAATTCCAAAACACGAATTCAAACTGTCGTTCCCCTCATTTCCGCCGGATGGCGCTGTGTCAGAACTCCTTCCGCTCCTCCGCCACCACCGAAGAAAATGACGCAGCGCACCTGACAGGCGCGTGTTTAGCCTGCTAGCTTGAGAACTACATCTCTAAACGCTTAAAACCGGTCCCTCGCTTTCAAACTCTACACATTTCCTTTGGATATAAAAGTGCTCAAAGGTCCCGAATCAAGAAGAAAGGAGAAGACAAAGTCAGAGCAGCCATGCAGATCACACTGAAGACTTTGCAGCAGCAGACCATTCAAATAGACATCGACGATGACCAGACGGTATTTACGCGCTTTCTTACGCTTATTTAAAAACATTAACTACAAGTAGAAGTAACATTACTCTGAGTGAATAACTATTTACGACAGCAGTGTATTTCGAGCGATTTAATTGGCGTTTATGAGTCATTGGGCGTGTCAGGCGATAGATTGATATATAGTTTGATAGATCAGTGTTGTCTGTAGGTAACATATAGATGCAGGTATAGTGTAACGTTAGAATAAATGGACGCAGGTATGGTGTAACGTTAGTATAAATGGACGCAGGTATGGTGTAACGTTAGTATAAATGGACGCAGGTATGGTGTAACGTTAGAATAAATGGACGCAGGTATGGTGTAACGTTAGAATAAATGGACGCACGTATGGTGTAACGTTAGAATAAATGGACGCACGTATGGTGTAACGTTAGAATAAATGGACGCACGTATGGTGTAACGTTAGAATAAATAGACGCACGTATGGTGTAACGTTAGTATAAATGGACGCACGTATGGTGTAACGTTAGTATAAATGGACGCACGTATGGTGTAACGTCAAACAAAGAAAAACAAGTAGATAGAATAGAAAAAATAGAAAGCTAGTGTTTGTATTTTGTTTTTGTTTTTTAAATAAAGAACAAAAAAATGAAAAATATAGATAAAGTAGAATTATAATAGAATAGAAAGTGTTAGAGGGATTTAAAGATTATAACATCATTGTTATAACAAGACAGGCTTGAAATAGCGGTCAGAGCATGTCTGGGTGCTTAAAAATCCATGTGTTATTTTCCTTTGATGATGTAAATGTATGGTTTTGATAATTATAGTTATGGTTTTGACTCAGGTGAAGGCATTGAAAGAGAAAATTGAGGCTGAGAAGGGCCGAGAAAGTTTTCCGGTAGCGGGACAGAAGCTGATCTACGCTGGGAAAATCCTGCAGGATGATACGCCCATCAAGGAGTACAACATCGACGAGAAGAACTTTGTGGTGGTGATGGTGTCAAAGGTCAGAGTTTGGAGATTTAACCACTGGCCATCTGAAATAAAATGAAGATCACAAGATTAGACCAAATTGTTTCATTGGTTTTTTTCCCCCTGTCCAGACAAAAGCAGCAGGACCGGCCGCTCCACCCTCAGAACCAGCCAAATCTGTCGCTACACCTTCCTCTTCCTCTTCCTCCTCTCCTCCTCCTGTTCCGTTCCCTGCGGCCATCCCCATCGACGAGTGTTTAGATGACCCTCCTGCAACCATCTCGCCTGCGAGGAGCCCAGACGGGTGAGACTCGAGCAGCATTCCTTTCAGAAATCAATCTGACAAATTTATTTTAAACAAAAATATATATTTTTCATTTTTATATACACTGCTTAACATGATTTAAAATGACCCTCAATACTAAAAGTTTGTCACAGAGCTTTTGTACTGTACAAACAGTGCCGACTGCTGCTATAAAATCATTAATTATGTTTGTTTTTGCAGTGGCACAGGTCTCGGGGCTGATGGGGAAGATGCGTCTTCAACATTAGGTAATGAAAAAAATTCATGCTGAGAGATTGTCATCATCAGCCTGACTATGTCAGTCTTGATAGTTAATTTGCAGTAAATGTGTAAAGCGGCATTCATTAAGGAATGTAGAGTTGGTTTTTGTCTCTCAGACGTTCATGCACATGTGTTTTGCAGTCACAGGTCAGGAGTATGACGCCATGCTCACCAATATCATGTCTATGGGGTATGAGAGAGATAAAGTGGTGGCTGCACTCAAGGCCAGTTATAACAACCCTCACCGCGCTGTGGAGTATCTGCTCAATGTGAGTGTACAAACTCATGCTCTTTCTTTCCAAATGCATTTATAATGCCAGTCACACTTGCTCATTTTTTATTATTATTCTTGTGTATTCTTTTTTTTAAGAGCACTCCATGCATGTCGCGATTCGTCAATTTTATTCTATTTTTTAAAATCCTCGACTTAATTTTGCTCGCGTCTACTAACCGGCAAAATACCGTAAGTGGCGCATTTCACGGACAAGAATCCATGAAACACATTTAGACTGTTTCCCAAGGCTGCATGATATATTAAACCCATTTAAAAATCATAATTAAGCATAATTGTGAATTCACAAAGGCTATGATTTAATTAAATAATTATAGGCGATGCAGTATATGCGCTTGAATTATTTACATGCACGTACTTAATCTACACGTGTCACACAGCGGCTCCGTTCACAGTAGTTCCACAGGAGCTGTTATCATTGTGTGTGGAGCGTCTCAAACTCCATCACTGCATGTTGTTGTGAGTTTGGGTTTATTATAACATTCATCTGGGAACGCAACGTGCGCCATTTCATCAGATTTGTAAGGTAAATTATTTATAAATCTACGCAAACTCAGGAGAATACATCGCGGTTTCAAAATAAAAGCTCAAACCCTCACTCTGTGTTTACACTTTTTGATGTGCACATATCCTTTAAATTAGAGTGGCTATAGCATTTCTGTCCTAAAGAAATTGCCAAATATTAAAGATTAAGTGGACATTTGAATTAAACGGGTCATATGATGTGATTTCTTGCTTTTGATACTTTATTTGAACTAATTATTAATGCCTCATTGCTATTATATATTTATTTTAAGTCATTTTAAAGGCTATTGTTCACTTACATCTATTTTTATTACCACAAATTTTTTATAATTATAGAGCCCTATGAAATCCATTTTATTTCCAAATTCACTTTTTTTTCCCATTTTCATTTTTCTATACTCCGTTTTAATGGTTAAATTAAATTTTATTAATCAAAAAGCCTGTCTAATTAATTGAGTTTTACAGTTTTATCTTTACCAAATTCTGTTTTCCATTATTTTCTGGATTCCATTTTAATGGTTCCATGAAATTTTAATAATCAAAAGCATCTCCAATTAATTGATTTTATAAAAAAATTAAAAATAAATTTTTTTTTTTCAGAAATACTGTACATTTACATTTTTCTCCTAAATAAATTCTGGTAAATAACATTTCTGGTAAATACTCCTTTAGAAAGTGTTTTTTGATTATAATTGTATTATTGGTAGACTAGAACACGTGGATATGTTGTCATTCTTACACTATAATACTGAACTTTGATTTCAGTGATTTGGACTATGAGATGGACACCTGCTTCTTGCACTCTGTTGCACTTTACTTTTGCTTTAAAAAAAGGATTTCTTAGAAATTTGGATTTAATTTGGTTTCATAAAATATTCTTAAGTAAAATTTTTGATTTTTTTTTTTGGGAAATTAATTGTTTAGATTAATCGATAAATTAGTCGATAGTAGGGATGCACGATATATCGGCCACCATATCGGTATCGGCCGATAAATGCTAATTTTTTCTGTTATCGGTATCGGCCTGATAAGAAGATTTGGCCGATATCTTAAAGCCGATAAATAATGCATTATGTCCTTCAGAGACACTTCAGATGCACGCTGTTCGTTTGCAGCCTTTTGTGCAATTGTACGATGTAATATTGTGTTTATTTGATGTATATCTGATTTATCTCATATAGAATGCGTTTGGTTAAGTTAAAAGAGCGCTTCAGTTTACCAATGATCGTCTTTAGCTCAGCACACGCAGCTCAAACAGCAGTGCACAACATTAATAACTATGATTGGGAATGTCGTGTATATAACATTCTAATGAGAACATTATTATAATAAAACGTTGTGAATTCTTTGGGTTTAGTTGCCGTGTTTCAGCGCGTTGTTATGGGAAGAGCGCATCCACAACAGGATCACACATTCTGACTATAGCATGCAATAACTGCGTCATTTGTCATTTCATATATAAGTTGTAATATTATGTTTATGTTGTATTAATATTAATCTCAGGATGCATTTCCTTGAGTTAAATAAGCTGCCAGCAAAACGCTTCAGTTTACCGTGTTCATTCAGCTCTTCAGCTTCAGCTTGAGCTGCAGCTCAATGGCTGCTATTTAAAACAGTGGTATTAATTTGTTACTTTTTCAAAATCATTGATATATTATTAATAACAACAACCACTTGTATTTTTCTCTTATTATTTTCATCAACAATATGGTTTAGTAATTAAAATCATTTAATTATTGTCCGTGCAGAGGCTATTCCGTTTTATTGATCTATGGCGCATTCATTTTGATTCTTTACATGTGTAATGATGTCCAGTGACTTGTTTGCATTATTTTATTTATTTGTAAGACTTTTTTATGACTAAATTTGGTAATGGGAGAGTAAAAATATTTTTAAAACGTACACCGTTCAAACTAGGCTGCTTATGTTGAAGTGTTTGGGATGTGGCTTTTAATGATGAGACCTTTTTTGTAATCAGGCTCTCAAAAAGTATATAACAATTTGGATATAGATTTATCGGCCAACATATCGGTTATCGGCTTTCAAAAATAAAGAATTATCGGTATCGGCCAAAATTTACATATCGGTGCATCCCTAGTCGATAGATTAATCGAAATAGAAATAGTCGTTAGTGGCAGCCCTACTGTGAATCTGATGTAGTGTTGTGTCTTGTCTTAGGGGATCCCTACTGTCCCAGTGCAGGAAACCAGACCTGCTTCAGCTCAGCTCCCCACAGACACACAGCCCGCAGAAGGTGAGATGCTGCTTGAAATAAATGTGATTTTAAACGATCTACATTACCATTCAAAAGTTTGGAGTTGGAAAGAAGTCTCTTCTGTTCACCAAGGCTACATTTATTTGATTAGAAAAACAGTAAACAGTAATATTGAAAAATATTAGTACAATTTAAAAGAACTGTTTTCTGAATATATTTTAAAGTGTAATTTATTCCTGTGATGCAAACTGAATTTTCAGCATCATTACTCCAGTCTTCAGTGTCACATGATCCTTCAGAAATCATTCTGATATGCTGATTTGCTGCTCTAGAAACATTTTTGATTATTATCAGTGTTGAAAACATTTCTGCTGCTTAATATTTTTGTTAAAAAAAACAATACTTTTTTTTCTTAGGATTATTTAATGGAATAGCAAGTTTAAAAAATGGCATTCATTTAAAATAGTTTTTTTTCTAACATGTCAGTACTGTCACTTTTGATCAATTTATTACTTCCTTACTGAATAAAAATATTAATTTCTTAAATCTTACCAACCCCAAACTTTTGAACGGTGGTGTATATTTTCAATCAAAAACAATTAAAAGTCATATTTACACATATTGGCACAAAAAGAGTATTTAATAATTTGTATGCAACAATGGTTTTTCACTAAAACATTCTAATAGGAAAAAAAATCTATGCTGAAACTTTTAAACAATTTTTGGTGCAAATCATAAATTTGAATCGGAGTTGAAAATGATTCATTGATGGAAAGGAATCAAACTGACACTTTAATGCCATTTTTACTATTTTAATTTAATCTCTTGCTTGTTTACAGCCGATCTACTTTTAATAGGCATTTAATGATTTTAGTAAAATAAAACGCATTCAAATCATTGGAATATTACTGTCATTATATATTGACTGTATTCAGTATACTGCCATACCTACCATAAAGACAGACTGGTGAGTTGACGGAGCGTTTGATGTTGTGTTAGGTGAGAATCCGCTGGAGTTCCTGCGCTCTCAGCCGCAGTTCCAGAGCATGAGGCAGGTGATCCAGCAGAACCCGTCCTTACTGCCGGCCCTCCTGCAGCAGCTGGGACAGGACAACCCTGAACTACTGCAGGTGATCACACATCTCAAGCTCAAAGCCTCACAGAGTCCGTTTGAACACAGTCTAGGTCTTTTACTCACAGTGTGATCATGTTTCATTGACATGCTGAATGCAGCAAATCAGCCAGCATCAGGAGCTCTTCATCCAGATGTTGAATGCACCAGTGGGTGAGGGTGAAGGCGAGGGTGGAGAGGGCGGAGAGTTTGCAGATCTGGGTGGTATCGGTGACGAAGCGGCACCTGGGAGTTACATCCCAGTGACGCAACAGGAGAAAGAAGCCATCGAGAGGGTGAGTGAACGCCACTGAACAGGACGTCTGACCAGACAGATTTGCTTGTACCATTTTGAACCATTTTTGTGTTTACTTTTGGTGAGTTTGAATGCAGTTTCCCCCAAATAACCTTAATAGCTTAGATATTAACTTCCACCCATTTCTGCGGCTTAGTTTGTGAAACCTCACACCAGTGTTATTTTGATATTGTTAGGGTACTATTGTTAGTTTGAATTGGCTTTTATCAGTATATTTTCTGTTTAAAAATGTTGAAAACAGGTTTTTCTGCTTAATATTTTAATACAATTCAAAAGAACAGCATGTATTTACAGAAATCAGAACAAACCGATAAACCTTTTGTACAATTTTGTCTTTACTGTCACTTTTGATCCGTTTAATGCATCCTTGCTGAATAAAACTATACATTTTTTTTCTTACCCCAAACTTTTGAATGGTAGCATATCACAGTTTCTTCAAAAATATGAAGCAGCACAACTGTTTTCAACATTGATGAAAAGAAATGTTCCTTGAACAGTAAATCAGCATATTAGAGTGATTTCTGAAGAATCATGTGTAGTGGTCGACCGATATATCAGCCGATATTTGGCATTTTCAAATATCGGCATCGGCCGATACGTTTTTCTGTTTGGCTGATGCGTTCGAGGAGGGACTTTTATTTTGACGGCGCCGAGAGCGGCAGCGCCAGAGCACACAGTGCTCATGTTCTCCCTCTTGTTTGCTGTCGTCGTTAACAGTTCTGTCTAATATGGATAGAAATCTGTCTCCGATAGAACGGTTAAACAGAAATTAAAATGTATACAAAAAGTATTATAACGATTGCTTTTAAATTATTAGCAATAGAAAAGCAAACATATTATAATACTTTCTCGTTTGCCGTCAGCATTCAGCAAATACGCATTTACATAATTTAAACAAATCTTTGAATGGTTAATGAAAATTTTATTTCACAAACCTTGCAAACTTAGTCGAATCCAGTTGTGAGATCTTGTGAAGTGTGCATGTAACCTGCATGATCGCGTGTTCTCTGCATGACTTTCAGTCCGTGCAAATTGAATGCTTTAAAAATTAAATTTGTGATTTCAAATTATGCTTTATGCATTTGCCCACTGTCATATTCATGTCATTTTCACTGTGTGCTGTATATAAAATGTGTTACCGTGGCTTTATTTGAAAAAATATGATTCCCAATGCACACAAACTTCCCAGAATACTGAGTGCTCTGTTGGTTACAGTTTACTTTTTTTATTATATTTTTATTAAATATTTATTTATTTGTGGGAAATACTTTGTCACCTAAAGTATAAGTATGTTTATTTAACAAATTAATTTAATCAATTTTCAAATTATTTCTTAAGTATTAATTAAAATAAATACAATTATATCGGCCACCCTGCTTTCCAAGATATCGGTATCGGTTGTCAAAAAACCAATATCGGTCGACCACTAATCATGTAACACTGAAGACTGGAGTAATGATGCTGAAAATTCCGATTTGATCACAGGAATAAATTACATTTTATACTTTATTTTAATAGAATTTTTTTTTTTCCTTTTCAAATTTAAATTTGAAAATTGAATTACTGTATTTTTGATCAAATAAATGCAGCCTTGGTGAGAATTCTTTCAAAAATATTTTTAAAAAATTAAAATCTTAATTATTCCAAACTGGGTTTGACTGGTAATGGAGTTTTTATGAACTTTCATTCCAATTATATTTGTGTTTCATTACCAACCAGCTGAAATTAAAGTTTTTTTTAGTTGGTTTATTTTATTTCAAGTAATGAAGAAAAAAAAAAAAGTTTTAGTTATCTAAAGTAAACGAGTCGCACAAATGGAAAGCAAATGATCTAACCTGTCTGTCTTTCTCTCTCAGTTAAAAGCTCTGGGATTTTCAGAAGCACTGGTGGTCCAGGCGTACTTCGCCTGTGAGAAGAATGAGAACCTGGCCGCAAACTTCCTGCTCAATCAGAATTTCGAGGATGAATGAGAGTCGCAGAGAGCCCGCGTGCCCCTTCCCCCGTCACCACACAAGCGCTGCATCTACTCGGGACACCGGTTTCCCCACATTATTTCTTTGAGTTTACAAGTCAAGGGGAGACTCGCAGACTGACGGGGCGGAAGCAATCACTCGGTGAACAAATTCCAATGGAATTGACAGCATTTGGGGCACTCTAGCATGTTGAAGAAGTGTGCTTGCACGTGTGAATGTGTATTCCCTTAGGGATTATTCGACTTAATCCGCATCAATTGAAAGCAAACGCTCTCATAGTAGTATTATGGGCTCTGAGGAGGTTAGATGTGGGCATACGCCTTTGCTTGTATGTTTTTAGTTGGGAAAAGGATTAATAATGTCTAATGGAGGATTTGATATATTTCTCTAAAATCTGAGATATTTCTGTATTTTTCCCAGCACACACCTCTGATGAATGTGATAACAGCATTCAAATATGAAACAATTAGTGCAAACTAGCATTTTTATAACATTCTCAGCAAAACAAATGACCTAAATTGATGCCGTTTTGTAAATGAATCCATATCGTGTGGAATATCATAATCTGAGTGATGATCATTACTGGTTTGAATGTACTTGAATGGAATAAACACAATAGGTCATTTGTCCTATTTAAAGTCAACATTAAAAGGCAATTGCAAGCTGTTTAATCTGATGTATTTGCAAGTTTAAGAGGAAATCTAATTCACAAAAATGTAAATGGAACTCAAAAATTAGGGATTTGTTCCTTCTTCCCTGACATTAAGTTATTTTGATGAAAGATTGCACTTTTAAAAAATTAAAATAACACCCTGTACATTTTCAAATTGTGCATAATTACATGCGTACATGCTGTAAGAACGTAAATAAAGTCAATTTCATGTTGACTTTAAAAGCTTCTTGATTTCCGTTAACTGTTGGAGCAAAACAAATGGAACAGATATTAATAAGGATCATTTTTCTTAGACATTAGCTCTGCTTATATTAATACGAGAGGACCAACCTGTATGTTTAACAGCAACAAAGGTTTTTGGCACACTAGAGCTCACTGAATTTCGGAAGCCAAAAGCAGAGACCTGTTACAGCATGATGATGCTTTGTGCCGCCAAATTCGTAAGTCCCGTCAATGAGAGATTTTCTTGAATCATACTGGTGTAAAGCTGACAATGGGTTCATGTATTGAGAGTAAAGTCTTGTAACATTCTCCTCTTACAGCAGGTTCAGCTGATGGAGAGAGCCTTCGGCAGCAGCTCACCTTTACATTGTTTTCACTCATAGCAATGAAATGCTCCTTTATAACATAGTGGCCAAACTGCCATACAGTAGACTTTTGTTTACTTATCAGCAAGCCTACATGAAGTCTGACCTAGTGGATTTTTGGAACAATAAAAAGTAATTTTTGGTCAAATAATGTGTTAAGGTGGTGGAAATCGGCAGAGCTTTGTGGATGTAGACTTCATGTAGGCCTGTTTTTTTAGTAATTAATCATTTGATTTACTAGAGCTTGAACTCCCCTGGGATCAATAAAATCTTATTGCCAAGAAAAGTCTCAATGTGTGACATTGATTTCTCACCATAAAACAAACAGATATCAGGATCTTTGTACAGTCAAGAACATCATTTATTCAATCAGGTGCTGCTCTTTACAAACAATTAAGTTTTTTATAATGGAAAAGAATCTGTAAATAATACATGCAGATTGCCAAAGGCTCTGTGGAGGACGGAGAGCACTGAAACGGAGATGCTTCTGTAGCAAAGCAAGCAAATCAAAAGCACATCTGAAGTAGAAACACAAACTAGGTAGATATGCGTGAGTAAATCGGGGCAGATTCTGAATAAATGTTTGCAACTAAAGTTTAATAATCCTGGCACAAGCCAGTGTGGATGAAGGGATGATTTTACTGCTACTGACTCTTAAGGAGACAAGTAACCTTAATCACTTCAGCATGGTGTGCGCGAAAAAAAATTATGTACATTAAAATATCAATGGATTCTTTTAATTTAGGTGACCAAAGTGTCATACTATGCATGCAAATCACCTTAATGGCAGTTGCTCGACTGGCACATGCAACTGAACGATATTGTTCTGAAAATGATTCCAACAGAATGATTATTAAAACGTTAATAGTTATCCTATCATCCTTTATGCAACTTTTATGCTTGTCTATTTCTATTTCCACTAAAACCTGTTGAAGCACTGCTGAAACATCTACTATAATGATTAATATGGTGCTTACAAACAATGCATGGCTTGAAATATTTTAAGTGGAGCAGCTGCGATTGAACATGTAACCTATTACTAGTCCAACCATTGACAACAAAGCTGCCTCCACATCTGGACCAGTACTTGTAAATGCAGCTCATATTATTCTTAGTGCACTGTGTCTTCTGATTTAATCGGTGGATAAGGTGCAATTAGCAAATCAGGCAAGTTCTTTAAACAGCTGGTCTCAACCACTAAAAGGTGCTTTAATTTCAGAGTCAACAGTGAGACTTTTGAATTATGACTAAAACGGAAATAAATACACACAAACACACACGACAGAGCTATTGTGCATCTTCTGGTTCAGCGCTCTCCACCGACAGCCAAAAAAGATCTGGTACCAGGACCGCACCGCTTCCCAAGACACACCGGTACTGCTGGTTTCAGATTTAGGAAGGGTGAGCGGAGCCGGTCCCGGGTTGGTTTCAACTCAGAGCTCACTGCGTTTGACAGAAGAGCGAGAGATGTGTATGATATAAACATGTGAAGCATACAGACAGGGATATAACAGAGTTTACAACATCTTGATCAAGAGAAAAAGTTTCAACATTTTTTTCCAACTCTTTCATCAAAAGTAGGGAGAGGGAGGAAAGATAAGGATAGACATCTACGGCGCCAAGAGCGAGAGACTGATAAAGACAGGTACAGAGAAATAGGGACCCAAAATAATTTTTTTTTGCATTTTTTACTTTTTCCATCATCGTACAATAAAAAGAACGAAATCACATCCATTTTCTTGTAGTACTATATACTGTGTTTACGGCTTGAGAAAGCTCAGAAGAAGGAAAGACGGGTGTTCATCATTTACAAGATGGTGTCTGTGAACAAAAGGCACTTTGAATGGGACAACCTTTAAATGCTCACCTATACACTACAGCACGAACACTATGGGAGATCATTTACATAGAGGAAGTATTTCCAGGACGATATGGGGTTGCCATGGCGCGCTGAATTTTTTTTTTATCCAGACGCGTTTTAGGCCTCTCATCTTGAACCACATGTGCTCTAAACTACAACTAACAAAACCCTACTCACATTAACATCGACACAATCTTATCTAAATGAAGCCGAGGTTTAGAGAGAATGTGATCTGATTGCTTGTGAAGAATCCTCTACTGTATTCTCAATCGTGACGCTTCATTATGGCCGTTCCTCCAACCAAAACATGCTTTTCTGCATATTCATCTGGTATTACGGTACTTTTAAGTCCTCCTGGGACATTCGTATTTACGAGTTGCAAAGTCGTCAAGTGTGTTTAAATCCCCTTCTACTCTACTTCTGCAAAATGACAAATAAATAATGTGCATCAGGTGTGGATTTTTATTCAATTTATGAGGGTGCTGTGAACTGAATCGTTATGTATTATATCTCAACTGTGGAGTACTATCAGTTTATTATGCAACTTTATTGCAAATGAAAAATATATATAATTTAATACATTTTAACAAATTTAGACCCTGCATTCATTGCTATGACATTGTGGTGGCGTTCATGTGTGTTCAACTCATAAATACGATCTTTCCGACATGACTTGAATGCACCATATGTCTAGACATTTGGAGTAAGAATGGGCACTGCTTTCTTAAAGGTTGTAGTAAAATGCCTTTTGTCAGAACCAAAATATATATATATAAAAATATGAACCCCCCTTAGTAAATACAATAGAGAAGAGGAGAGAAACAGAGGCTCGTAAAATTTGTCTCGTCAGAAATAGTCGTTCTGGTGTGGTATTATTTGCATATGAGTATCAGAAGCACCAGGATTTTCTTTTTTTGTCATAATACATTTACTTTTGTAAAATCGTTCCTTCGGCTCCCACCCCTAGAATAGTTTAAAAACAAAAGCTTACAAATAAAACATAAAAAATAAAGATAAATGAAAAGTCAAAATTAACTTCCCCGCTTTAACACTTACAAAGACTGGGATTTTTTTTGTGGCCCTTGTGTTTAGAGTCCAGGAGCTTGCAGACTTCAACTTTTTTTCACTCGCTTCGCTTTCTTAAAAATCTGAAGACAAACACAGATATCTACCCAACACATTGCACACACGGCTCAGTCCACATATAACTTATTTTTTCTCTAAATAATAACACTTTTCAACAAAGAGAATTTTTGTTTTCTCTGAAAAATTAGTTTCTGTTCTGAAGGTCCTGTTTTTGATCTGCACTGACCTGATACGACAGTTCTGGCGGTTCTGAGGAGATGATCTGATGCTTGTGGGTTTAAGATATTTGGACATTTTCCGATGACATCACTGACTCGGGTCAAAGTTCAAAAAATAACTAGACTGCCATAGAGCTAATTTCACAGCGGAAGAACTATACATATGTCCATATATATACATATATATATATATATATATATATATATATATATACACACACAGTATGAGTACGATATGTTCTAGATAACATCCATCTATAAATATGATGTTTGCAGTTGCTCATATGTTGTTTGCCAAGCCCATGATACATTTTGTACATATTTTCTGTAGCTTATACATGAAGTGAAGACCCTGAATTGCATGTAAAGGGGACACCGAGGCACTTTGATATGTTTCAAGTGGATGATGAAATTGTCAGCTCTCAGCCAATCAGAGTCCCTGACAATGTGATTGACAGCCAGGCAGTCCAGTTATTTAGTGAGGTCAGTGGTTTCGAGTGTTTGTATTGAAAACATGACTTTCTTTTTTGAGTTCACCTAAAATTTAAATATGCTGTACTTTAAAGGGTGCATATTGTAAAATCATGTTTGATTTAGGGGTTTGAGTTTAAAGGTTTCCCTTTGTGGGTGTGTGTCATAGTGCAATGTTTGTGTATGTGTGCATGTATGTACTTTAGTTGACCACTGTGCTGACAGGCTAAAAGAAATGGCAGCTGTGAGTAGATTGTCGTACGAGTCAGGCTGCACCAGTGAACTGAAACAAAAAACAAAGGAGTGGAGAAAAAACTGATGGTAAAGATACGAACGAACTGTAAAGTGATGGAAAACATGATTGGTAGGAAGGGCAGAGCACTGTCGATATAATAGTGATCCAAAACATCTACTTAATGAAGCTCTAAGAGGAAAACTTGAGGTTGTCTGTTTGTTAGTCACATTCTAGTTGAAGGAGAGTTGATCTTAACCTGTTACTCTAAAAACAAAATAGCACAATTCCACATAAAGTCCAATCTGCCGGAGCAAGAGCGGTTACATTATACAAGCTAAAATCGCACAAAACCAAAAAAAAAACACAAGTGAATGGGCATGTCACAAAAACATATCCAGGTCACATCCCAGAATCAAAAGAAAAAAATATATATTTTGCATAAAGAAAATGAAGCCTATTTTTAGGGTCATTGAGATTGACTGCATTGTGACAATATTTCTATGACAATTAAGCACATTTTCATCCATAATTCTCACTAGTAAACAATCTGTAATCATTATTTAATAAATAATAATAATAATCATCATCATCAAATAAAATGCTGTTTTGCATTACAGCACAGTAATTAGAATAATAATTTTGCATTATGGTAATGAGAACATTTAGAGAAAATTGGCTTAATTATTATGAAAATAATCAGAATAAAATTTTATTTATTAATTAGTCATTGAATATTATTTATTAAGCCTTTTTTTAAATCATATTTTTTTTCTTACTTTTAAAATATACTTTTAGAATTTTGGTTTTAGGGTGAAATATGACCTGGAAAGGTTTTTTTGACATTCATCAAAAAAACAAAAAAAAAAGTACTGCAAAACCAAACGAAATGCAAAGTAAAGCAGAAGAAGCCCTTGTTTGCAGGGCCGACTGTAGGATATTGATGCACAAGCATTCAGATTGATCGATGGTAGCGAAGAGGTCAGAGGTGCATGCACCAAAACCCTCATTAGTTCAGGCAAATCAGTTTTATGACTCAAATCACTGGCCTTTTAATCATTTAAAACACTACTAAATGAAAAATGATCGTTGAGTCACAAGCTTGACATTAAGGTCACTCGTGCTTGACCCTTCCCATTCCTGTCATCAGCTGTCTATATGATGCTGTGATGTGTGTCTCAGTCTATTGTCTCAGTGTAGCCATGTCATCGACGTGTGTGTATTGCTCTGCTGGAACTCCTCTGTGTGTGTGTTTTACCTTACAAACATGTAGCCTCACTCCACATCGCAAATCTAAGGCCAAAGCTTCTGTCATCGCTTATCATTAATCATATGAAATCATATGTTTAGGTGAATTGCACTCGGTTAGTGTTATCTGTTGTTTCGCACACAGTCTATTGCTTGTCAACTGGTAAACAGTGAGAGGATGCCGAGTTCACACTGCACTGGTGGGCATCACCAAAATCATCAAATCCAGATTAGGAAGTCTAAGCCTGAGCCAATCAGAAGGCTTCAGCCAAGTCTCTCCATCCAATCACATGTGTCTGACATCATCCAAGTTACATGTCCATTTCAATTGTCCCTCTTCAATGATTTCAATTTCTAAATAGAGTTCTGACTGGGAAGAGATGGATTTTCCTCAACATGGCATATGACTGGTGGATGAACAAATTAAAGGAAGGTAAACAGGATTGGTCGATATGCTGGATGTCTCGGGAACACAATGACGATGTCGGTGTTTCATTCCTTTGTTTGGTTCTCCGAGCCATCCAGACTGGCAGGGTAAGGCTGAAGTCTTCCAGATCCCTCGATCCAAAGAGGGTGTCAGCGGTTTGGGGAATCGAGTGTGTATTTGTGCACGTGTTTTGTGTGTGTGTGACTTTAAAGGGGGCATGTGGAAAAGTTCCATACTTAGCTTTGTGACTCCATTTCCAGTTTTCATTGTGGATTTCTGTCTGTGTGGTTCATGAAAAGTCTCGTCAAAGGAACCATGACTGTAAGAAAAGGAAATTAATGTGAGTCACTCTAAAAATAACTTTAGTTCATAAAAATAACCTTATTAATGTTTCATAACCACATTCCTGTTTAAATGTCCTGAGTACTTGTACTCATGTCCCAAAACTTTCTCTCTTCCATGGAAACATTTTTTGCAGAATTGATTTGCTCTTAAAAATGTGCATGAGATTTGAAATATACAGTGGATGGTTTTGAGGGGAGAGTTTTCAGCAAATAATGACTGTGTTTGGGATCAGTAAGCTTATTTATTTATTTGTTTTCGTATAAATTAATACTTTTATTCAGCAAGGATGCACTATACTGACCAAAAGTCAATATAGACAGTAAAAAGACTTTTATAATGTCGGTAAGCAAAGTTTCCACAAAAATATTTTTCAACATTGATAATAAGATATGTTTCTTGAGCAGCAAATCATCATATCAGAATGATTTCTGAAGGATCATGTGACACTGAAGACTGGAGTAATGATGCTGAAAATTCAGCTTTGCATCACAGGAATAAATTACATTTTAAAATATATTCAAATAGAAAACAGTTATTTGAAACTGTAATAATGTTTCAACATTTTTACTGTTGTTTTGATTAAATAAATGCAGCCTAGGTGAGCATTAGAGACTTCATTCAAAAAAAAATTTTAACCAACTTTTCAATGGTAAAACCCCTTTTCCAGTCTTGGAATTTACCATTTTAATATTTGTTCGATATTTCAAGGTTTTGGGCAGAAAGTCATGTGGATTTGGAATGACATGAAGGCAGGGACAGTATATGCAAACACTTCAAAAGAATGTTTACTGTTGAGTGAACTATTCCTGACAGTTTGGCATTTCACACAATTCAACAGAAATGCTGTGACAGTTCTCAGAATAACCACTAGAGTACAGTGGTCACAATATAAACACTCACACTACTTCTACAGACCAGCTCAGAGAACTCAGTTTCGCTGCGTTTATGTCACTGCTTCCATCTGCAAAATGAATGGTTAAACAAAGCTAACATTATCCGTTGCTGTTTTTAGCTTGAATAAATATAGTGTTTAGATGGTATCTAAAGATAAATACTTGACTTAAGAAGTTTGCTGATTTTTTGACTCACTAGAAGTTCTAAAATCTGTGTCTTTCTCACTGTAATCCTCAGTAGTGGTGTCCATCCTTTTTCTTAAGTTCTCTCCTGTTGAAGTTCATGTTCAACTACCTATGACATCATGTCTGGTTGCTGAGGGCAACCAGACAGTCGGGACGTGACACCCTCTCTCTCTCTCTCTCTCTCTCTCTCTCTCTCTCCTCAGTATGTCAGACTTTCTCTCTTGCATAGATCTGCATGTTAAAACTACTTTTAACGCATGTGAACTAGGCCAATGCTCAGTCCGTCACAGCACAGTACGTTAAAAATGAACTGGACTTTTCTCTTCTTACAACTTTTTCCCTCAGTGGAAATGTTGTAACCAGAAGTTTACTAGGATGTGTCTAAGAGTTTTTTCCCCTCCAGAACGCTATGTGGTGGCACATATGTGGAATATTCTTTGCAATAAGCCACCAAGACAAGAACATGAACAAAATCGCGAACGGTCTTTACATTTTTGTGACAGGTGTTGTTTAACCAAGAGACGAAGACTGGCTAATCTCATATACAAGAGAGCTGCACATTAATCTGTGCAATCATTCAATAATTTCAAAGTTATAAGTAAAATATATGTATTATATCTTTAGCAAGATTATACACTATATATATATATATATATATATATATATATACACAATATATATATATATAAAATTCTATTTTTGAAACCTTTTATTAAATGTTTTACAAATATTATTTTACATTGTTAAAATTTTTCACAATATTAATATTTTTACAGTATTTTTGAGCCTGAGAAACGTCTTTCAAAAACATTGAAAATCTTTCCCACCCCAAACTTAAAAAGTTTGAAACTTAAAGTTAGAAATTTACTGTATACAATCGTACTAAAAGTAATGCAAAATAACTTTCATTGCCAGTAGATTTTCTAAATTGACCTGCCATTAACAGATGAGGCAAAAAGTACATTTTGGAACCTGCAAGTGTGTAAATGTGTATGCAGGACTTTACGACAAAAAAAAGAGGACACTGTAAAATACTTACTTGCTTACATAATAAATCTGATGAATCATAAGACATTTGGTTTTGGAATCAGTGAGGAGGAGGAGGAGGAGGAGGAGGAGGAAACGACTGTTTCCATGTGTACGGTCTTATTGTTAGTGCTTGTGGCTGGTGAGAGTGGGAACACGGCCACAAAATCCATTTGAAATGAGCAGCGTGTCCCTCAGCAAACCCCCAGAGAGCCGCTGACTGCTACCAACCACATGCTCTTAACAGCACTCAGACCCACGACACTCGCTGATCAAAAACACATGATTGATGGATTGACTGAAGAGGCTGCTATTTTCAATTTAAAGAAATATTCTAGGGTATTTTAATGTCTACACACCACATCTTTATCATGAATAAACAAACAGGACATGCATTTACAGTAAATACACTTTCAATGGAAGCCTACCAGACAAGCAGGCCCGAGTGTCTTAAAATGCAAAAATGTGCGGCCGCTCGTATTTGTATTTGAGTGAAATCAAAAAGGACAAAATGCTCCTCATCTTGCTTGCTAAGCTTCAATTGAAACTGTATTTACTGTAAACATGCTTCCCATTTGTGTATACACACATTATCTGTGTGGTAAGCTAATCAACAGCATGCCATACATGTCCCTAAAGCAAATCTACATGTATGCATGTACCTGAGTCTGCTGTGGGATGTTCAGAAAGTTGTTGTCCCGTGATCCGATGCCGACAAACCTGTTGGAAGCTGTGGAGCCTGGCGCTGGGTATGCTGCTGGGACACACACACGTCTGTCAGCATTCACAGCTGTGATGTTTGTGTTTGTATTGTAAAGATTTCAACAAGAAGCTCATATTTTAATTACTGGCACTAAAATTTAAAATAAACAAGTGACTTAAAGGTGAAGTGCGCATTAGCGGCACTGAATGGGATTGCGATCAGTTCGAGTAAATGAAGGAGTCAAGGTTTGCACTGGCCAATTAGCACCTTCTGGTCGATTATGAAACTACACAATTATGAGAGCAAACCGTCTCTTTTTACATTAAAAGTTCCAGTTTACCAGTCAGTAAGTTAAAAAATAACCAGCAGGGATGAAACATACAGATTGGAATTATTATTTAATATTCATTATATTAAAAATGTTTTTTTAAAATTAAAATTATTCTTAAATATTAAACATTTCATTCTAGGAGATGTTTTGATGTTGACCAATTATGTTGTTGGAAACATATAATGGACTTTATGTCTTCTGCTGCCTTTAATGACAGCTTAGGATATTCACTACTGAAAGGCTTGGCATTAAGAACCCATAATCAAACATAAGCAAGCACACCAGCCAAAAAAACTGTCAGAGATAAATGGGAATGCTAATGGATAGATTTCTCTAGGTATTATAGTCCTTCTTGGACCAACAGCAGACTGGATGAATGCTTGAAGTATGTCTAAAATCATTTTTTTAAATCAGTTCTGTGCTGCTGGTTGCACAGAAATCTTTAACAGTAATAAGTGTTACACCAGCATCAAAATTGATTAATTTCCATTGGAGTACTATGATAACCATGTTTGCATGCTCAGTATGAGCGAACACTTTTGGGTTTCGATAAATGGCTGATGCAGATTAAACTGCAGTTTGGGATCAAGGATTTGAATGAAAAAAATGTTCAGGTGAAAAACGGCAAAATGTAAAATTCATTTATACTTTCAAAATTTAAAATTCAAGGCAGTTGTGCAGGGGTGGGAGGGAGAATTTGAACTGAAATTTTTTTTTTAAAAATCAGACTTTCAGTTGAAAACGACAACATTTTAATATCAAGCATTTTTAAATTCACTTTCAATTTCAAATTCAGGGCAGTTTTGCGGAGTGGACTCCATGGGATACGAGGAGCATTTATATGTTTGCAGGAGTGTTTGAATGTGTTCGTGTGTGTGTGTGTGTGTGTGGTTTTCTTAATATGACTGAAAAAAGGCTGCTGTGTGTGTAAAAGCACCGAAAGATGGAAGGTAAATAAAAAAAACAGGTTGAGACCGATACACCGTTCCATAGATATGAAATGAACGAATGAGAAAAACACAGAAAGAACATTCACGAGTGAGAAGGGAAAAAAGGAAGGGATGGTCTTCTCATAGGTTTGCTCAACCAGGCTCCTCCTTCTGCCCACCCGCCCTGCTGACAGCACCCGACACACACACATCCCAAGCAAAGACCCACAACCCAGTGCCGCCGCTCTCACACACTGCCAGACACATTACAAATCCCTTCACCTGCACGTCTACACACATTTCCTTTGTATTTAGCTTGAAGTGTCAATGGAAAGGCGCTCTTGCTGAATGTGGGGGGGTCATTTTTTTTGTTTGTTTGTTTGTTTGGAGTCCATGCCAGCTGCCCTGAATTTGATCTCTTGAAGGAAGAAAAGAAAGAAAGAAAGGAAAATGAAAAGTGAGAGTGATGAGGAGGGAGGCTGATCTATGGGAATGATTGGCTGATGTTCTTGCTTTGATTCAGCCAATGAGAGGCAGCGAAGTGTCTCCATTTCCATTCGATTGCAAAAGTCAGCGACTGATTGCAATCGGATAAATAAACGAAAAACCAGGATGAAAAGGGAATAGAATGAGAAAAAATGAACAAAGAAAAAAGTCGGATGGAGAAGAGCAGGGCATCTAAAGCCAGAAATATACTTTACGCAAGTATGCAAACAGGAATGCGTGATCTTGTACATATTATTAGTGTGTGTAATTGTGACGTTAACAAATTTTGGTACTCAAGGGGGCACGAGTGTTTCCTTAAAATAGCTGAGCCTGTTGTTTTATTATCCCGATAGCTTATCATAAACATGTCAATCCTTTAACTAACCTACAATAACTTTGAGAAAACTGAACGTAGAAGATATTTTTATGCAAATGCCCCCGATGCGCTCTGAAACATTTTGTACTTGCGTAGAGTATGTTTCAGGCCTAACTGTCAAAAATCGTGGTTCTATCACTCAAAGAGATGATGAGTTATTTTCAGCGCAGCGGTAATGGGGCGTTATTCGAGGGCTCTGGTGGGTCTGGTGCTTGAGCGGACACTTACAGGGCGAGGCCGGTGAGCCGACTCCGCTCTCGGGGTGTGTGTGGCTGGGTTTGTGCTCGGGCAGGGGGAGGGGCATCGGTACCGGCCGCGCTACCGGAGGAGGAGGAGGTGGCAGTAAGAAGGAGCCGGGCAGTTTGTTCTGACCGCTCCCGTTAGGCTGCAGATACACACACACATACAGATGGTGAGGGGGTGAAAGAGGCACACTCACACACACACACACACACACAGATACAGAAATGTGTAGGCGTGCAATCACAAAGGGTGAGACTGGAATGTTACAAACGTACAAACACATTCAAAAATTAATAAACACATACACAGAGTTACTAAAGTGTCATGAAACATGCCATTTTAGTTCAGATCAGTTTTGAAAAATGCAAAACCGAAGGGAAAAGCAAACCAGCCCCACCTATTTCACAGACGTTTTGCTAATCTCGCTATAAAATTTCTGATTTCAGTCTCCACAGTTAATCATGTTACTGCATTTTCTTGAAAAAAAGGCAGACTTAGCAATTCTCTCCAACACACATAAGGTTAATATTACATCTTTTTAATAAAAAAATATTTGTAATATTTTTATATTTTTTAATTAATTCATTATTTTTATAATAATTCAATTGTTATTATTATTTAATCATGTTATTATTATGAATTAAATATTTATTTTCAATAATCCACACAATAAAAGTAAATGAGGAATGGGGCTGTTGAGGTACACAAAGGACATAAAAGCATCATAATAGTAGTTAATATGATGTGCATAATATTTCCTCTTGTGAAGACTATATTTATTATGATTTTTTTTTTCATGAATTAAGTTTCCCCTTATCTTTGGGAAATAATATAATTGAATGCTTAACTAAATTAATGACTATAAACTGATTATAATGTGTCCCGCACAACTTTTCAGATAATTTTCATCATATCCATATGATGAATTCTTGATTTTAAACCCAGAGGAAAAATAATATAACCAGCAATCATTGTAGGCACTTCCATATCTGTTTAAAAAGAGTGTTTTAGTGTTTCATGACACTTTGTATAACAAATGAGGCGATGAAACTGAAATCAAAACAAGATAAACGGAGACTGTCAAGTGTTAGATAATGAAGAGAAAGAGAAAGGAAGAGAGGAGAAAGAGAGGGACTTTAGCAGAGATGTGTGTCAGTGAGTGTGTGTGTGTGTGTGTCCACTGGTGCTGTGTTAAATATGATATTGTGTGTGTGTGTGTGTGCGTGTTACCTGTGCCCCCGGCTGCCCTGAGCCGTCAGCACAGACGAACTGGACGAACTCTTTGAGCGGATCCTGATGGTGGTGATAGCGGATGGTGGGGTGGGTGAAGTATGGACTGGACTGCTGGATGATGGAGGGAGCAGGGAAATGAAGGGCAGAAGCTGAGGCACGCGGACTCCCTGAGAAAGAGAGAAAGAAAGTGAGCAAAGTGTGAAAGAGACATACTATTATGGATATTAGCATTTGTGTGTGTGCTCATATAAACCTAAATTCTTCAATTTTCCCCCATGTAAATAATGTCCTAACCTTAATGGAATAGCTCACCAAAAAAAGTAACATTTTGACATTTATTCATCCCATTCACATTCATTATATGGTATTTTCCATATAATGAATGTGAATGGGGATTGGGGCTCCAAAAAGGACAAAAAAGTGCCAGAGAAGTCATCCATATGACTGATATGCTAAATGTTAAGTCTTCTGAACTCATACAATAGCTTTGTGTGAGGAACTTTGTAAAGAAAACCTCTTTAAAGTAAAAAAGTCTGGGTTAAGTAAGATTTTTTTTAAATGTCTTTGAAAGAAGTCTCTTATGCTCACCAATGCTTTGTTTATTTGATCAAGAATACAGTAAAAACAGTAATATTTTGAAGTATTATTCCAATTTAAAATAACTATTATATTTGAATATATTTTAAAATGAGATGTATTTATAGTTTTATTCACTTCTACTGTATGGAAAAAAGCAGCTTGGACATTCTGCGTAGCATCTCTTTTTGTGATCCACATGAGTCAGACGGTTTTGGAACGACATGAGGATGAGTATATGATGACACAATTTTCATTTTTAGCTGAACTGTTTCTTTAAATGCCATTTCCACCATCCTCTTTTTCCTCTTTATCTATCTCATCCTGTCCCTCTTTTTTTGTCTATATCCAACTCCCTCTTTTTCTTCAGTCTTTCTTTTTGTGCTTCTTAATCTCATTAGGTACTGGGCAGGAGCCAGGTGCTATGGGGTGCCAACAAACACACACACGCACACATACATGTATACACACATACACACGTATACACACACACACACACACACACATACACGTACAAACACACACACACACACACACACATACACGTACACACACACACACACACATACACACACAGAAACAAACGCACTCATAAACGCCCTTAACACACACAAACAAAAATGGTATCTTCTCAATCTCCACAAGAGTTATTCATCACTCACAAAAGCAAACCAACAGCAGCCAACATCCATAACTCATACAAACGCATTAGAAACAGCAGCGAGACTGTCTTTCTCATGTGCATGCAGTCTGCCCTTGTCTCCCGGCTTAACGCAAATCTTGCTTTTCCACTGTCTCGACTCTACATAAACAATCTAACCAGAAGCGTCTGCCGGAGAAAAACTTCCATAGTCACACGCACGTATAATCCATTTAAAGCCGCCGCTCTCTGTCTCGCTGACCTTTACTTGATTAGGGCTCGCCGGCTGCAACCGGACCCAAACGGATGGCAATTCTGTGCTTTTCCCAGGGCCATCAGATGGGATTAAACATCCGGGACGTCAGGGAGAACACGGGAGGGAGCTCTGAATCACTCTCCTTTGGGTGGGAATGGAGACGTTTCGAGTGGCCTGCGAGACTGCGGTCTTAATGCCTCTGAATATCAGCTTTTACTGACTGGATTTTCATGGCGCTTTGAGTGTGCTTGCCAAGAAGAGCCCGATAAGAGCACCCCCCACTCCACCCCCGATCATCATCCCCCACATACACATGCTCTCCTTCACATTTTGTGCTGTGCCAATATGAATGACAGCATGTTTGTATACATGCTCGCTGGCTAATTTTAAAAACGGAGAGAGCGAAACGTACAGGTTTTATACGATTCTCTTGGTCACGCATCTGTTACGCATTGGGAAGCTTTCTAAACGTTCCTTCATGGTTTCCCCTGTTTGTGTCTCCGTCCCTTGCCTTCTCTTTTCTTCATCCACAACTAGTCTCTGGTAATTCACAAGTAAGTTGAAATGAGAATGTTTGAAATGAGAACAAAAGCGAATCAACTCTCCGACATTCAAATGAGAGCTCTGCACACGGTTGTTTAATTGTTAAATGAGCAACGTTCATCACAAAGAGCAGTATGAGTGTCCTGGGAATGGAGGAAAATGTCACATTACAGCAAATATTTTTAGTAGGAATCTTACTGGTTCCAATTTAATTATTTTGACAATTCCGTTTTATTATTTATTCTTTTTAGGAATTCTATACCGTACATTTTTTGTGGAAAAATAATTTTTTTTGACTGACTATGATTGACTAAAAAGAATCGACTCAAAAGAGTAATTTGTTTGAGAACTGAACTACACTGGCTACACCGATTTTCGTAGCAAATACAGCTAAACAGTGGTGTGAGAAAAACTGCCAGAGTATTTTAGTATGGTTTTCATCCACACCTCACATTCAACAACTGTTAAAGAGAACCAAAATTCATTAAAATTTGATAAGAATCGATTCTTTAACCCAAACAAGAGTTTTAAACTCCACTGTATGTGCACAGGATTTCACAGAACATCTTTTATATGATATCTACATGCAATGACGCATAATTTGCTTAAAATGAAATAAAAAATAATAAAATGTAGGTCACACATTTGAAGAAACATGAGAAAACATCCAGAAAAAGCACTTGAGAAATGGAGGTAAAAGCTGTGGATGAGATGATGATGATGAGAGAAGAGAGGAAAAGATGGAGAGCAAGAGGGAACGTGGATGGATGGTGCCGTTCATGAACTATGGCAGCTCCTTACTCTCTCTGTCTCTCTGCCCAGCCAATCAGAGGCCTCCATCAATAACTCACCACTGTTTTGAGCCAATCAAATGCCACTGAGGGCAATTTTGGACTAGTGTGGTGCCATAATGGGACTTTTGGACCAATCATTAGCCTACACTGCAATCTAATACTTAAAATCTCTAATTTCCCCCTCCATTCTCTCTCTCTCTCTCTCTCCCTGCTGGAGTGTGTCTGTCTCACCTGGTCTCACGCCTGCCAGCATGGGCAGCGGGTGGTGTGTGAAGGCCATTCGGGGGGACCTCGTCTGTGCTGACAGGGTGCTGAAATCGAATTTCCCCGCTGGCTTCTTTAGAGACCCAGGAGAGGACAGGCCTGCCAGAAACCACACGTCAACAACAACAACAGCAGCAGGGCACAGCACACACCAATCAAACACTCGCTGACTAGCTCAACTAACTAACTCAACTACTCCTCAAATGATCATTGCTGGTTTTTAAAGGGATACCATATATACTGGTAATTTTGCTAGAATTTTAACAACAAAAATGTTTATATTTTATATAGTTTATATTTTTATATTTGGTAATATTTGGATAATCTAGTGAATTAAATAAAAGATACTTCATATTTGATTATGCTCTCTATTTCTTCGGAACTTGATCAACAAGTTCTAAAATTTTTAGATAAACATTAATATCAAATATTTAATAAATATAATATAATGATATTATTTTTTGCTATAATTTTTACTTTTTTATATTTTAATAACTATTTGGTAATGTCTATTTTTAATAATCTAGTGAATAAAACAAAAGATACTTAATCATATTTGATTATTTTACCAATTTATTTGGAACTTGATTGACAAGTTCTAATATTTTCAATACTGAAAGTGACACCTATTAATATAATTAATAGGTTTTTCATAAACAAATGTTTTATCAGTGCAAAAACAGCTTCACATTACAAAACACTTCAATTAAAAGACTAAAAACAGAGTAATTAATATTATAAAACTGATAGTTCTGACTTTAAAATCTGATTGGATAAACCACATTGCAAAATATCTGATATTCACACACCTGTGAACAAGTTGCGACATTGCTTGCCAAGTGTAAACAACTAAACTCAGTTATTCCTCATCTTGACTTGTTTAGGTCACATTCTGCTTTGTATTCTTTGCCGCCCTTAATGTGTAAATAACGTAAAGTAGTGATGTCCACAAATAGCCATGCAAATATAGCCTGTAGCTGTGTAAACGTTGACACATTTCTACCGTCACATAATGTGTAGAGCATCATACCACCCGGCCGTAGTCTTTAACTATTAAATTAGCAACACCTCAACTAGTTCAATCCATCACCAAAAAGATGAAAGAGAGATGAAAATAAAATGAAAAGGTGAGAAATTGCAGGAGAAAGTGATAACAGAGCAGGGATGGCTCGTAATTGGAAGATAACCAAAACACACACACACACACACACACACACACACACACAGAGTCCTCCTGGCACCCATTGCTCAGTGTTACTCATACATACACACACACACACACACACACACACATACACACTTAAACTTCACTTTGATGCTATTTTTCCCACTCTGCATTACAAGGCATTAAATCCCATTTCATGTTAATTCCCCTTTCTCAGTTCACTTTCGAGTGCATTTGTTCTCGCATGTGTGTATGTGTGTGTGTGCCAGAAAGAACACCCATGTGTGTGGGAAGTGTGCAAATGCATGTGAAAGTGTTAAGTCTGTATATGTATATTTATCACAAAACGTGTACACATGCACTCAACACACCTCCTCTCGCCTCCTGGTTCTTTTGAAATAAGAATTTGATGTACTATAAAAATTCTATATTCATTCTCAGAACAAAACATTTACGAAAACTTTTATGAATGCCAGCTAGTTTATTTTTATAACCAATTTTCAGTTTTAAGCTTAATTTACATAGACATTTGGGACCCTCTGACAACATCCCGCATGTTTGAAATGAACAGTTCAACTTAGACTCCCGTTCAAAAGTTTGTGGTTGGTAAGATTTTAGAAAGAAGTCTTTTATGCTGACCACGGCTGAATTTTTTCCCTCAAAAATACAGTAAAAACTGTAATATTGTGAAATATTATTACAATTTAACAGAATTAGTTTTCTATTTGAATATATTGTAAAATGTAATTTATTTCTGTGACGCAAAGCTGAATTTTCAGCATCATTACTCCAGTCTTCAGTGTCACATGATCCTTCAGAAATCATTCTAATATGATGATTTGCTGCTCAAGAAACATTTCTTATTATCAATGTTGAAAACAGTTGTGCTACTTAATATTTTTGTGGAAACTTTGCTTACCGACATTATAAAAATCTTTACTGTCTATACTGACTTTTGGTCAGTATAGTGCATCCTTGCTGAATAAAAGTATTAATTTATACATTATATTGTGTATATATATACTATGTAAAAAAAAGGCCAAACTTTGACCCACTGGTTAACATGGTGTAAGGGTCAGAGAGAGGCCGAAAAACTATTGTGTAAAACTAAATAACACTTCTGCTGCTGAAAACCTTTGCTATTGTTATAAATGGACATAATGGGAAAAAATAAACTCCTTAAAAAGCAGTTTTCTTTTCTTAAAAACATGCAGAGGTTTTAAATGAAAAGCATTGCTTTCTGATTATGACATTCACACACAAACGCAGAGCAGATGTCTCCCACTATACTGTAGATACACGGAAGTGCCATCTGGGACCAGAACATAGACTGAGAGTGTGTGTACGTGTGTATATGTGTGTGTGGCTAATGCGTGGACAGAAGGTGCACCTGTGTTGTGCATTTTCTCAGTGATTGTTTGTATGATGCTCTGACTTTGACTGTCCCATCTGGGTTCTTCCAACACTACTAGCTGATTGTGACCACAGCGATCATTTAGTTTAGTGTCTACCGCCAAGGCTAAAGCACCCCTTGTCGATACTAAACCTCTCATGGTGAATAACACTGAGAATTATTATTAAATTAACTTCAATGATGTTAAACAAAAAAAGGAATCAATAACATGGGTAAAAAAAACAGACTAACCAAGCCACACATATACAGTCGACATCTGATGCTCTACTGTCCTGACACTAACCTGTCTACTCCCACTACTTGTGCACATGTGTAAGTGTGTGTAGTATGTATTCTAACCATGGTAAGGAAACTGCACACCATCATTCTCATGTTTTATCTTCCTCTCTTGAACACTCGTCAAATGGTGCTGCACTGCAACTGGAGAAGGGAATTATTAACACAAGAGGAGAGAGGAAGAAGGGGAAAACATTGTGTTGAGATCATGAACATAATGCAATTGATCCCTTTTTCACAGATATGGTACCAATACCCAATCTAACCCCATTCCACACATTTCCACTGAAGAAAATGATTTTAGGCTCAATTTTAGGCTCAAAAAACCTTCTTAGACTGGCTTTGCGATGGTTTTATATCAGAAACCAATAGCATGTCATGCCAGTATCATTCCTATTACAGTATATTTAATACAATTGTGATCCTAGAACTGCATCTTTTTTTAAATTAATTTGACCTTTTTTAATGTTTAATATTAGAATCAAATTATTTTCATGACATTTGGTTCCAATAACAGTTCTTGCATGGTTTTTAAAATTACACTTTAGACTTTTAAGACCTGTTCTTAGTCTTTCCTTCCTGTGATGGGATGGTACAGAAAGAAACTACATGAGGTTATGTTGAATTTAAAAAAAAAGATTTTATCCATAATGCAGGACTTTTAATTACAAACTAGCCCTAAATACACGGGGACTCTTATTTTGAAATGTCTATGATTTACTACGTCCAGCTGCTCGTTCGATTCTTGTTTTTCCATCCACAAATTTTACCTCTTAAATTATAAATAAGACTTTTGTTATACCATTTATGACTTTTTATGGCCTTAATTTTGATGTTAAGACTTTTTAAAGGGATAGTTCTCCCAAAAATTTTAATTTGCTGAAAATTTTGCATCTTAATGATGGATTTATTTCTTACAAACATGCAGCTTTTCACTTCACTAGATGTTAACTGATGGACTGGAGTGGTGTTGATTACTTGTGGATTATTGTGATGTTTTTATCAGCTGTTTGGACTCTCATTCTGACGGCACCCATTCATTGCAGAGCATCCATTGGTGAGCAATTGATGCAATGATACATTTTTCCAAATCTGTTCCCATGAAGAAACAAACTCATCTACAACTTGGATGACCTGAGGGTAAGTCAATTTTCAGCAAATTTTTTATTTTAGTTGAACTATTTCTTTATGGACCTGCGGGGACCCTGTTTTGAACACCATGCTTGTGTATAGGCAGTTTATGTTATGTTGCCCATAGTTATTTAAATCTTCAATTGGCTCTCAAGTCAGTGGAAATGTAGGTCGGTTCTCAAAGATAACTGCTACTGTGTTGAAGATCCCACAGCCGAGACTAGACTCTGGTATCAGCACCATTTCAGTGTAAAAGGTGTATTCATGTCTATACGTGATGCTCACCTGCATCAACATCATTCGGCCAGCCGCTGGACTGGGAGCTGGTGCCGGCTGGAGAACGACTGGAGTAGAAGACATCATCGACAGGACTCTCCATCTCACTGTCATCTATAGACTTACGCTTATTAGAGCTACAGAGAGAGACAGAGACCATGAGAGAGGTTAATCAATATCCCTGTGACTGATTCCTGTAGACAGATAGAGAGAAACACAGAAAAAGTGCATAGATACAGAAGACTGTGACAGACTTAGTACCTCCGAGGAAGACTGGCGTACAGCTCCACCTCAGACCTACAGCGCAAAAAGAACGACAGACAAAGAGGAAACAGAAGAAAGGACAAAAAGGAGAGCAACACAGATCAAATTTCTACTGAAGAGAGACTGAAATAGGCACAAAGAGCAGGCATAAGGCTGTATGTGTGTTCACCTTGTGGATGGAGGAGAGGCAAGCGAACGTCGGCCGAGTGCTACTTGGTTGATATTGTAGTAACCGGGACTTTCCAGATCTGCGAGAGAGAAATTAGGACCTGATGCTGTTGCAACGGGGGCTGCGGAAGAGAGAAAAGTGCAGAAGTTTGAACTTTTCAAATGTAAAATCTAAAAACTTAAATATCTAATAGAGAGTGTGAAGTTACTAACGAATCTATGCTAAATGAATGTTAGATGTAATTTACTACTTCCCAACAATACCAAATCTGGGTATTACAACTTTCTTAAAGACAGCATCACTTTTTTCAGGATTATTATCATCACTAAAACTAAAACCATTAAAAAAATAAAATAAATAAAATAAAATAATAAAAATAAAATGTATAAAAAAACTATTTAGTTTCAGCATTCCTCATTTTCTTTTCATTTAACTGGAAGATGTAAAATAATATAAACTAAAACTGAAATAAAAATTTATGAAAACTACATGCACAATTAATTAAAAACAATAAAAAAGACAAAAGCACACAAAAAAAAAGAATCTTAAAATGAAAGCACAAATTATAAAAACAAAAAATATTAATATAAAACAATATAAAACTAAAATTAAAAATAAGAATAAAAACTAAAAAAGTGTAACAATGACACTAAAACAACACTTGGTTGTGATTTCTTGTCTTTTTAATAAAAACACAACAAAACTCTAAGACTGATTAAGATGCAGTAACCTAACAAATCAGAATATCAAATTAGCAATTTGAGTCAGACATAACTTCAGCGAGAGGGTGAGAGTCCTCTGTTTGATTTGGTCTGTTTACCAAACTGTTCCACTGATTCATAAATAAAAATTCAACAATTAAGTGATTCGTTCATGAATTTGGCAACACAATATTTTTTGCAGTGTGCTGTTCATTTAAGAAAATACTGGTGTGTTACAGCACTTACTCTGAGACACTCGTACCAGCTCGGCTACGTTCCACACCCCTGAAGTCACAAAGCAGTCCTGAAAACTCAGATGTCCTGCAGAGACAACACAAATTCACATTCCTAAACTCAACATATTCCTCACCCATCTGGAACCTGGGCTCTGTGCTAAGAGACATTAATAACTCTAGTCTAACAGTCTTGCTTGTGTGATACTGCTGTACTAATGTGTGTGGGGTAAGACTTTTTTTTTTTTTTAAAGAAAAAAATAATACTTTTATTCATGAAGGATGCATTGAATTGTTCAAAAAATCATAAAAAAGTCAAAGTCATTTATAATATTACAAAAGATTTCTATTCAAATAAATGCTGTTCTTTTGAACTTACTATTCATTAAAGTATCTTAAAAAAAAACGCATCATGCTTTCCACAAAAATATGAAGCAGCACAACTGTTTTCAACATTAATAAGAAATGTTTCTTGAGCAGCAAATCAGCATATTAGAATGATATCTGAAGGATCATGTGCCACTGAAGACTGGAGTAATGATGCTGCAAATTCAGATTTGCATCACAGAAACAAATAGCATTTTAAAATATATTGAAATAGAAAACAGGCATTTAAATTGTAATAATATTTCACAATATTATTTTTCCACAATACAATTTTTTTTTATCAAATAAATGCAGCCTTGGTGAGCATAAGAGACTTATTTCAGAAACATTAAAAAAAATCTTACAGACTCCAAACTTTTAAATGGTATAATAGTGTGTAAGTCTCACCGTTTGGTGGGGGTTTGATGTCCGATTCTCCTTGTTGATTGGAATTGTCTGATTGCCCAGATTCTGCATTGAGAGACAGGGAAACGATGCATATAAATGGCAGAAAATGGCTCATATTCAATTACTACTGTTCAAATTGGATTGTTCAGTGATGTTTAGGCACTTGGACACAACAACATTGCGGGCAGATATTGTCAAGCTTTGTGAACACGAGAGAGAAAAAATTAGAAACGAGTGTCTGAGTACATATGCATGAAAGTGTGTGTTATCAGCACAGTTTATAGCAGGCTGCGTGTGCATGTGTGTTTGTGGAGGTGTTTATCGGGCGGCTGTAGGTGATAAGGGAACACACTGGCTCATGCCAGCATGATTTGATGGAGTGTGTAGAGATTAGGACAAATACACTCGCACAAACAAAAGAACAGCAGTCTAAACAGAGGAGAAAGAGCAAGATGGATTCTTTTTCTCTACATTTAGCGTGTTGTCTCCATCTCTCTCTCACTTTCTCTTTTTCTGGAGTCCTGGCAGCCATTTTAGTCTTTGGCAGCCATCTTATTATTGGCGGTGCACACACATTCCTGCTAGCTGATGACATACACACACACACACACACACACACACACACAGGATAAACATAGGCCGAAACGCATGAACAAGGCTGAAAAATGTGTACAGTAGGTTGTGTTTCACATGGCATACAGCATCCCTAGTCCTGTTTAAACTCACCGATGCTCGGACTGAGAGCAAAAGCGCTGCAACAAAGCGTCCACAAGTCATTCAGCCTCAATGAGTGTTGGAGATTCCCGAAATTCTACCGTTTGAATTCGCTACAAATTCAAAAGAAGCCCAGGCTGGTGTTACAAAAGCATCAGGTTTTTGTAATTATGAACCTTGGCTACAGCTGTCACACTTTTTATCAATATACAGAAAAGAGCGGCTGGGATGTTGTTCAAAATTTCTCCTTTTGTGTTCTATGTAACGAATAAATTCATACATGTTTGTAACGACTTAAACATGAGCAAAAAATGACAGAACTTACGAACTTTGTGATCTTTTGATGCAGTGACATAAGTTACACACACAGACTGGTGCAGAGTGTAAACACTGCAACTGATTTCACCCACACACAAATTACCAAAAACATGTTCATACAGTATGTACTGTTCATCTGCAGCTTTATGCTCCTATTGTTTTTGAAGGGGCATCGCTGACAGTCCTGACCCTCCTTGTGTGCTCCAGTAGGTGAGAAAAGACACAACCAAAAGAGAAAAAATATAATTTGAACTTTTTTAATGTGTTAGGTCATTAAAACCCCAATCTAACTTTATTATTACAATTAAAAATAACTTTATTCTATTGTAATATATTTTAAAATGTAATTTATTCCTGTCATCAAAGCTGAATTTTCAGCATCATTACTCCAGTCTTCAGTCACATGATCCTTCAGAAATAATTATAATATGCTGATTTGCTGCTCAAGAAACATTTCTATTATTATCAATGTTGAAATCAATGATACATGTTTTTTTTCAGGATTCGCTAATGAATAGAAAGTCCAAAAGAACAGCATTTATTTGGAATAGAAATAATTGTCACTTTTGATCAATCTAATGTCAAAGCATTCATGTCATCTCTTTGATTTTCTGTCTTATACACTTTTCTTCTTTTTCCTAAATTGTATGTAATGTAACTTTCCTAATTCCTCTTTTCACCTTCTTTTTAGGAAACTCTTTTTTTCTAAAAAAAAAAAAAAAACTTTATATATTTTATAAAAGTGGGAAAGCTACATTTACTTCTGAAGTCATAATGACAGCTTTGTGTGAGGAGTAAACCAAAACTTAATTCAATTCTTAACATACTTTTATTTACTGACAGTCTTTCCATCCGCTGCAGCTGTCAAATGAAGTTTGTTGCACGCTGCATCAAGTTCAATGATTATGAGTGTGTAGATGTCCACACGTCCTTTTTATTATAATTTATAATAACTTTAGGTACGTGTATGTTTGTGCCTATAAAACAACTCTCTCTGTGTCTTTTAAACACGTCTCTCTCTCTCTGACCCAAACAGTTGTTAAACCCCATACAGCCTCTTTTTCTTCGCCCCCTCCCTCCGTCCCAGTTTATCAGCATGCAGTTGGGTTTCGCTTAAGAGGTTTAGCATTATGTTGCTAAACATTCTGACCTTTTTTTAATCCATAATGCTCTTAAAAGTGTTCCAAAGCGTCCTAATCCCCTCCGCCTTCTCCGCACTCATTTATCAGCCAATAGTCATCATTCTCCGGCTTTCTTTCGGCTCTAATTATTTATTTTTCATCCTGAGCTCAGTGTCACAATGAGAAATATCTCATAGCTCGAGGACATCCATATATGTGCGGTACTGGGCTGTTCGGGATTACAGATGCTCGGGAGTTACAGAGTCAGCCGAGAGAAACATCTGTCTGCACTTACACATGAAGAGCTTTAGGGAACAGCTCAGCAAACGTAAACTCCTACATTTGTGAGGTTATTTCATTAAAAGCAAGCTGTTTTTCAACGTGCATTTGTGTGTACATTTTTCTATGTATGCATGTGTAAGTCTGTGTATGAAGGAGCAGGTGTGTGAGAGTGGTTTCGGCACAGCCTGTCACCCATCTGTGTGCCCGTCTGCAGCCATAGTGTGCCAATACACACACACACACACACACACACACACACACACAGAGAGAAAGAATGGAGAAAGAGACATACACGCATGAAGAGAGACAAGAGAAAAGAGCAGAAAAATAAAGATGCATCTTTCACACATAAATCCAAGAGTCTCCATCAATGTGTTGACATAAATAGCTTTAATACACACTCACACCAGCACGCAAACACCCTGGCTAAAGCCGACATGTGATTTGGGCTCTTTACAAGCTTTTGATTAGATGGGCACATCAGATCTCAAAGGAACCCTAGAAGGACCCTCGTCCACAAAGACAGAATGAGAGAAGGATGGACAGAAAGAAATAAAAAGTGGAATAATAATCACACTGTGTAACTCAAATCCCTACAGAAGTGAAAATAATCACCTAAAGACAGATCATAATTTGTTGAATGGAAATAAAGATACAGTTATATTATGCACTGTTTTGTTCTATTTTATTATTTTCTTTCATAACTGTCAAAGTCACATTTCTATAAAGTAAATTATATACTTTGCTGTTCAAACTGTTAGGGTAGGTAATTTTGTTTTCCCAGAAAGAAATTAATACTTTTATTCAGCAATGATACATTAAATTTATAAAAAGTAACACATTTAATTGATAAAAAGTGACAGTAAATACATTTATAATTTTACAAAAAGAAATAAATGCTGTTATTTTGAACGTTATATTCATATAAGAATACTGAAAAAGGTTTCCACAAGTGTTTTCAGCATTGATAATAATCAGAAATGTTTCCTGATCATCAAATCAGCATATTAGAATGATTTCTGAAAGATCATGTGACACTGAAGACTGGAGTAATGATGCTGAAAATTCAGCTTTGATCACAGGAATAAATTACATTTATTTTACAGTTATTTTAAACTGTAATAATATTTTGCATTGTATCTGATATTACTGTATTCTTGAGCAAATAAATTGGAGACAGGGGGTTTCATTTAAAATAACATTAAAATATTAAAGACCCATAAACATTTGAACCATAGAGTACAAAAAACAAAATCATATTTTCTTAACTTTATCAATAGTAACAATACATACAGAAAAATTCTTAATTTCCACGAAATTATGTAAAAAAAATGTCCTTATGCTAAATGTAATTTTGTATTGTTTTCTTTTGTTTTTGCACTCCATTGCGACCTAAACTTGATTTTGCTAGGTTTACCAATCACAGGCTTTTTAAGTCTATTCTCCTTCTTCCCAGTAGGGGGCTCCTCAGGGCAGTGAGGAAGTCAGACATGATAACAGCAGAGCGAAAAGCCCTAGAGCTTTGGAGACAGCAGGTGATGAGATTTGGGCCATTTCAGGGAAGTCACAGGTGTGCAATTTTACATCAACAAACATCACCTTTCAGTGTCAATAAAAATAAACACAGTTTGTTGACACTTGTGGTTTGATCGCTGTGGTTCTCTTTCCCCACACAGTACAAGCACAAGCCCAATAAATGATATCATAAACATACTCTTATGCAATGCAAACAGAGAAATACACTGATAATGCTCCTCATATTTATTATCTAGTGCTAAATCTGGTGAGATAGAGCAGGATGTGCATTCATTTGTGTGTATGTGTGTGAGTGTGTGTCCTCAGAACACCCCGTGACCCAGACAGGATGCGACTGTTAAACAGGCTTCACAATAGTTCAATGTGTAAAGGGCTGCACAGGATACCAGGTATAAAACACACTCTCTCTCTCTCTCTCTCTCTCTCTCTCTCTCTCTCTCACACACACACACACACATTGGCATTTTAACCTTTATTACAACATTTAGAGCATATTTATCAACTTTTGTAGTGCATGTTAACAGGTTGCATCATAAACCTCCAAGTTTGGACATAAAAATCTTAGCTTTGCTTGGTTTTAGTGGTGCTCTCTGAGCCAATCATTGCTATTAGTATTGCACACTCAAAGTTAGTGATTTGAACAAACGTCTAACCCTCAGTATTACACTTTAAAACTGAAGGATGGACCTTGGTCATATTGTCAAAATACCAAAATACCCTTAGCATTCAAATATTTTGGAGTCAATATTAAGATTTAGAAATATTAATATTAAGAAATTGCAAACAAATTTTTTTTTTTCTGTGATCAAAGCTGATTTTTCAGCATCATTACTCCAGTCTTCAGTGCCACGTGATCCTTCAGAAATCATTCTAAAATGTTGATTTGCTGCTCAAGAAATATTTATTTTTATCATAAACATTGAAAAAATTGTGCTGCTTAATATTTTTGTAAAAACTGCTTTTTTTCAGGATTCATAAATGTATACAACGTAAAAAAAAATGCATTTATATGAAATAGAAATCTTTTCTAACATTCTAAATGTATTAAATGCATCCTTAATTAATATATTAATTAATTATAGGGATGCATCG